CAATTAGGCCATTTGGCTCTTTTGTATAGATAGGCGTAGTTCGGTGTATAATACCGTATCTTCCTAATAATATATGGAAGTTATCATTCACGTATTCAGTACCGTTATCGGTAAATATCTCTTTGATCTTCTTATTAAGCTGGTTTTCAACCAATTGCTTATATAAGGTAAATTTCTTAATAGCTTCGTCTTTTGATCGAAGTAGAGATATATGTAGATATCTTGATGTTTTATCAAGAAACGTGATGTAGTAGCGATAGCCATTATAGGTCTTAGGGCTAATAGGCCCTCCAATATCGCTATGTATTCTTTCGCCTATGCCGTATTCGGCAGCAGAAGTAGAAGATTTATTGATCTTCCTGTCATATTTTGACTGTATGCATATTTCGCATATATCTTGCATATAATCTCTTATCTCAGTATCAGATAGAGATATATCGGCCTGGCTTAGTAGCCTTTGTAGTGGTATTAGGCCTATATGGCCTAATCTATCATGCCAAAGTTTTAAACTAGTAATATTGCTAGTACTTTGGATAGATTGATCTTGATCGATTTTTTGATCAGAATCTACCTTATGTGGCTTTGTATGCATCACATATAGGGTAGTTCGATATAGATTATCTTGCTTATGCCCAATCAGCATAATATTTCGATATTGATCGAAAATAGTGGCCTTTTCGCTATTAAATAGAGATACTGAATTTTTCAGTGCATGTGTGCTTAATATATTGATTCCCAATTGTGGGACATAGAGCACATTAGTCAATTTATAGACTAGATTGGTATTTGTCTGGAAGATAATATCTCCAGCAAGATCGATAGATAATCTTTGTGCATTTCCCCACATGACAGTTTTATTAGTTTTATATACACTATCAAACAAATCCAATTTAGATACTGCACATATAGTGGCAGCTGTATCAATAATGAAAATCACTTTTGTAGTAGAAAGATCTGAATTTATCAGATTATATGCACTTTCTATAGTGATATCAGAATTGGTTTCTTGGTTTGTTTTGATAGGTAGATAAATTACCTGATCGGTTTCATGCGAGAACTCATCGCAGAGTGAGAGACTTCTTGGTGTATTCACCATAGATTCATTACTCAGATTTGAGTAGTCTCTTATCAGGTTTTGATCATCAAAGATTGGTAGGCCATGCCTGATTGGCTGTGCCTCTGTCATGGGTATATCAGATTCTATCTGATAATCTGATCGATAGTCAATTGGACTAATCGGTGTATAACAGATATCACCGTCAAGATCAATTGGATCATTAGCCAATAGGCTAGTAGGCAGTAGGTTGCTAGCCGAGGTTTCTTGATGTTCAGCTTCTGCGGGGTAATCTGTCACATGACTAGTGACGTGGATTTCTTCCTCGTCAGATTGCTCATTGAGCATTGCTGTGATCATCTTCTTTTGTTGATTAAATCTTTGATTATTTTGATTGGATCTAGGCCAATTTGCCCTAGGTATCCAATTAGCTGGTCTGCCAGAAGGATGCAGATACCAGCAATCTGCTACTGTATGGCTTCGCATATTACAATGCGTACAGTATTTGCCAGAATTTGACAATTTTTTCCATGGTTTTTTGCTAATTCGACGATTTTGATTAGCCTGACGATTTTTTGAATAGTGCTTTACCTGATGATTAGGCTTGCGATGAGCCTGATATTTGTTCTGTCGATTAGGCTGATGGCTATCAGCTATGAAGATTTGTTCGCTTGATTGAATATGACCACGCGATTCGTCAATCAGATTGGCGAATAACGATTCAATCGTATAAGAATCAGAGTCTCTGCGAAGAGATTGAATAATATTTTGAATAATCGGTGCGTATGATTGGTCAAGATTGTTGAGAACCCATGCGAATACGATTTGCTTTGGGAAATCGATTCCTAGGCTTGCCAGTTCGATTAGCAGGCGTCTTATCTCAGTGAGATAATCATGCATGCTATCGAAATCGCCTAATTGACTATTGAATAGGCTTTTCAACACAAGGAATTCGGTAGTAAAGCCTTTAGGTCGATATTGGGTAGCCAAGGTAACCCATGCTTGGTAGGCCGATGTGGTATCTCCTAACCAAAAGAGTGGGCCATCTTTGCATGATAGCTTGATTGATGATAGAGCGTCTCGATTCATCTGATCAATAGTTTTGAATTTATCAGATGGAATAACTAGCTCATTTTGGCCTATCTCAGCAGGGCTAGTAGATCTTGTAGGTCTACCAGATCTTCTTCCTGACCAAATCGCAGTATTTCTGCAATCAGGTGATCGTTGATCAGGTGGTAGAGCAATTGCTTTTTCATAAGACCAGTGTTGATTAGGAATCTGGCCTTGCTGAATAGCAGGAAGCTTTGTGTAATCATGTAGAATCGCATCGATCAGTCTCTCTTGATCAAGAATTGCCTTGATTCGGATAGACCAGGCAACATAATTTCCTTCTCCTTTGAGAGGATCGATATTGTGTTTGTTGATCATTTTGAGTTCAAAAAACTTGATTGAATATTTGAAAAATGATTGTTTTTGTCAAGAAAGTTGAGATTTCTTAGTTTTCGTATAGAGAAGTAGACGCGACCGGTAAAAATCGAGTATAAATTTTTGAAAATAAGAAGTCGGAGGAGCTTTTTGTTTCTCTTTAAGAGAGAGAAGTTTCTCTTAAAAGTAAAGGATTCTTCGTTGAAGATAGAAGATTGAAGAAGTGGTATAAGCCGAATTGAAGTAGGATCAATTCGGGCTCATAACCTGTGAGCAAGCGATGCTGCGCAGGTTGGGTAAAGAGGAAGATAAATTAAAGATGATTAAATAAGATCGATTGATCTTTCTTCCTCTTGATTGAATAGGAAGGATAAGTTCAATTCGGCTTAGAATCATAAAGATGAGAGAAAAGTAAAGTAGGACTGAAGCTTGGTTGATTGTATTGAATCTTGCTTGTATATGCTGCATGGCGGTCTGGCTTGATAACATCCTGCCCTATATCTCACAAAAACACAACAGAGCGTTATAGCGTCAGACGGAATGTTCCTATGGGATAAATAGTGAAAGAAAAAGAAAGAGAGAATCGAGGATAGGTAAGAGGGACTGGGTGTAGATAGAGTGTGTAGGGGAAATTCTTTTTAAAAAAATTAGGGAATTAAGGAAAGGAAAAGCCGGAAAGGTAAACCGTAAAAGGGAGAAAAAATGGAAAGAAAAATTAGGAAATAGAGAAAAATAAAGATCGAGAATTATATTTAGAGGAGAAACAAGGATACGACTAGGGCTAGTCACTTTAGAGGGCAATATAGCGGCGAGGAGAAAATCACATAACAAATACGAACAATAGAACATAGAGTAAGCTGGTTACTACTCCGTTCTATACGGAGTCTATTATACTAGTACCGCTACCGTACCGTAGAGCACTGTTTCGGAGGCGGGGCTCTATAGCCCAGGTAACCTAGGTTTTTGATAAAGATTCAGTACGGCAGTGAGATAACCCAGTTTAGAAGATACCACTTCTACCAGAAATATTTGCCTCAATAAGGTAGTAAATTTGAATAGGGTACTAGACAAACCGTCGGAGATATTATCCGGCAGGCGATAAGTTATGAAGCTAGGGCTAGCTGTATATTCAATAGATCTACCATTATGACCTGTGGATTCTACTCGACCACCGAGCTTGAACTCTCAAACATTCGAATCTATTCTATATTAGGAAGCAACATACTATCCGAAAACCCATAAACCAATAGTATATATATATCCAGCAAATAGCTTTCCTAGAGTTAACACACTGCTTTGTTTTCAGCCCTCTAAGAAGTGCGCTACCCACTTCAGTATGTACGGCCTTTCAGTTAATTCCAAGCTTCACAACCTAGATAATGATTCATCCGGCCCCGGTATTAGGATCGGGCTTTCGATTATCCTCACATTAAGATCCGGCAGCACTAGAGCTTCCTACACTGTATCACGCCTAGTTACATTTTCTAGATATCTAAGGGTATAAAATCGGGTTATAAAAGTGTCCTCGCTTTGTCTTAAATCTCACGTCCTGCCGTGGGAGGACTAGAATCTAATTCATTTATATATACAGTTTATATATCAATTCAAAGTTTGAAAATATAATGCCATCCACAAATTTGTCGTTTAACCTTTTCTCCCGGCAGTTCATTACCATGGTTACTGAAAATGAGGTAATTGTGGCTTACCAGCCACAATTCGTTTAAGTTTCGGGGCCATTTATAAGAATACCGATCCAGAATTGTAACCATGGGTCCACTCTCATCATTTGTCAACATTAGGGTTACTTACAACCGGGCTAATAACAAAGTAAGAGTTTTAAGTTCGGGGCCAGTTATCACAAGTCTAACCCAGTTCGAATACCACCAGATTTCCTGGTCTGACAGATTCGGAGTTCGGCCAAAGTCTGTTTGAACTTCTCATTGACGTCATTTAAAACCATCTGCCTAGTAATTCGCACATGACCTTCTTTTCTTGTACGTTAACTCCTGAATCATGAAATTATTGGTAACCCATGCGTTTGCTTGGTGTAATTCCCAAGCCCAGGTCCTATGTCTCCTCTTTGAATTTACACAAATCTCTATCGATTTCTGGCAATATCTTGAAGCTCTCAAGATACCATAAAGCCATTATTTTACCGCCTCATGATTTGTCCATGATGGAAGGATTCGTACGCAGTAGCGCGGTCAGACAGGTCCTCCGCTAGATCATCGGAGCGCGGGGTTTACAGATCTAGATGAACGATCGGATTTCAAGTGCTCAACATGTTATACGGAGGCTGCTGCGCTAGACAGACTTTCTATTCAGGAGTAAAGAGACTGGTACTCTCTCTGCGAACGTCTTACACTGAATCGCCGCAGGGAAAATTCGTTTTACCCCTTAGTTTTTATTCTCAACACTTCTATCAAATGGGTTGAATGACAAGTTTATTGAATATGATGTTGAAACACGCTAGAACACCAGTTACCGCATGATCCGAGACGCCTTCCGGGCCGGGCCATAGATCAAGAAGTGGATAGAACATCAGAACCAATTCCCACTATTTTCATCTAAAGACTGGTCACAGTTGCAACAACTTGAGCTGATTCTCTCCAAGTTTGAAGAGTTCACCCAGCTCGTTTCCCGGCGACAATCCCAAATCAGTCTAGCAATTCCAATTTACTATGAATTGCATGACACGCTCGAAGATGCAGCTTCTGCACAAAGTGAAATTTCAGGCATCAGTTCAGATATAGGCATATAGCCGCTGCTGTATCTGTGGGCATGAAGAAGTACAAGAAATATTATGAGCTCATGGACTCGCAAGATGCATATTACATAGCGCTCATTCTTGATCCGCGTTTCGAACACTGTTGCTGCAAGTACAGCGCCAAAGATTATCTGGACAGTCAAGGAGACCTTACACGCGCAATACCTGTCGAAGTACTCGCCAGATTTGCCAGCCACAAAAATGGATCAGTGTACCAAGCGACATAACCTCAAGGCTCGTGTTTCGCAGAAGCTGCAAACTCAGGTGATCCAACGGTTAGATGTAAAAACAACAACTCAAGCGCCGAATTAAACTTTTGAAATATCTCAAGAACCAAGCCAGTTAGCAACTTTTAGTAAACGGCAGTTTCAATTTAACTCCCTGCGCTACATGTTGATACCGGTCTCGAAGCTATACGACCGATATCTCGATATTGCGCGCGTCAAAGGGCGCTAGGCCGGTCCCGCTAGGGGCTTCCGGAGGCCTATTAAAAACTTTACCATCGAACCGGGAACGCGTACTGAACGCTAACCGCACTGCGCACGACCTTCTGAAAGAGATTGGAAGGAGTCAGAATGCGAAACTACCCCCTAAGGTCGTCAGCTTCCTCCGACAGGTGGAGGACCTGACGAAGGACCTCCTATCAACGCCCCTGACCGACTAGTAGGATAAACTCGGCGCTCTCCGCAAGGAGATACAGGCCATCAAAGCTATAGTCGAACCGCCAGCAAGGCAGACGGTTCGATCATTCGCCGAAGTAGCGGCGAGGGCGCCAGCGCCAGCGCACTACCTCTCCCACAGCTTATCAAGCTCTAGCGTACGGCTAGCGGAGGTAGCACGTAACCGCGAGGTAGTAGTCTACCTAGACGACCGCTCGCAGGTTAGCGTATTTCGCCGCCTTACACTAGCAGAGCTCACCAAGTAGGTAAACCAGGCAAGAGCAAAGGCGGCTATTTCGATAGCCACCGACGCTCTAGCAACGGTTATAGTCCTTACCTCGAGGCAGCTCAAGTCTAGTAACCTCCGCTTCACCCTTCGCAACGCTAAGGAAGCCGAAATTATACGCATACATCAAGAGAAGTAGGCGAAGGGCCTCTACTGCATAGCGTTTATTTATATACCGACGTAGGACGTTATCGTACACGATATTAATATTAGATCGCTCGGGATTAATAAGCTATCGATCGACGGGCTAAAGAGCGTACAGGACCGGGTAAGCAAAGAATTATTAGTAGCGAACGTAGGAAACTAGGGGGAGACGGAGATTACTAAGATTAGCTAGCTACGTATACTAGAGGGCAAGAAATTAGGCTCTCTAATCCTCGAGTTCACCTCGCTAGTCCCGGCGAACAGGGCTATCGATAAGGGGGTCCTATAGGATTGCAATAGCCTGATAGCAGTCGTATACGATAGGGCCGCTCGTATACGATAGTACTATAACTATTAATAATTTAGTTATATAGGAACTACCTATACTAATACTATCAAGTATATATACTACGCGGAGGGTTATTAGTCTCGGGATTACCCTTCGAAGGAGACATAAGAGAACAAGTACGCTAACTACGAGGGTATATATACTACGTAGAGCACTAAATATAAGCTCCGGAAGCAGGAGATTAAGAGAGTTATAGCGATAGCGAGGTAGCGTGGCCGTTACTACCCCGTACTAGCGCTATATAGCATCGATCAACCCTCGCCGACGCTCTCGCAGGCCTCTATAGTTAGCTCGTAGGGAATACTACAGGAATCTTTAACCGAAGAGCCTACTAGCGTCGAGAGTAGCAGCTCGACGCCGGGTATACGCCCTAGTAACAGGAGGTAGCAGGGTACCGGCCCTATAGCAACAAAAATAACTAATAAACGAACGGCGGTTAGTCGAACATCTACTAGCATACAATCTAGCTAATAGGCTACTAAAAGCACTACCTAGACAGCAATATCAGCAACGGGCAGGAAGAGAGGAAGGAAACCGAAACAAAAGGAGCCTGAATCGATAGACACCGGAGCAGACAAAGGCCGAGCCGGCTAACCAGTCTATACTAGCAAAGAACTAGCCTTCCGATTCGGAGAGAGCTACTTACGCTACTTCACGACTAGAAGTATAACCGCTATACGGCTCGAAGTATTCTAGTAGCCGCCCACGGAAGAGAACGTTATCAACTTCTAGCTAGAAGCTAGCACTAACGCTAGTAGCACCCGGTCGAAAGCAGAGAGGGCTAGAGCGCGGACGGTTAAGGCGAGAGAGGTAAGGGCGAGGAAGCTAAAAGAGGCAAAATCAGCCAGCCCGGACGAAGCTTCAACAAGGAAACAGACAAAGAGAACTTCACAACTAGAGAACGCAAACTACTAGGTAGAATCGGACCTAAGCTTAATCGACGAAGTTAATATAGAGAACCTCGAACAATAGCTTAACGCCGGTCGAGCGCTTACTACGTCCTCGCTTCTAGAATAACAAAGCAATAAGGAATTTCAGCTATTATCCCTACCTAAAGAAAGACTATCAAGGAAGCGGAAACAGCCTCATAGCAAGGACCTCTCTCTCAACATCCGCTCGGCCGGGAAACGTAAGATATATAGCAGGAAAGCTTCTCAGACCAGCCGCTAATAAATCAGTATACCTACTAACTAATATACCAAGGAAACGATATAGTAATAACGAGGAGGGATCTTAAGATATATCAATATAACATACATAGATCGAAGGATATAGTGATAGCGTAGTTCCTGTAGGATCCAGAGGTTATCGGCGCTAATATTATCGCTATTCAGGAACCGTAGGAAAATCCATTTAAAGATAACACCTACTACCTGTTAAAGCAGACGCATAAGCTACTATTTCCGGCTACTAGCGAAACAGGAGACAGAGCGAGGGTATATATATTTATATCAAAGAGGATCGGCGAATATACTTACCTAGCACACTCTTAGGACTACTAGAAAGCAAGGATCAAGACCGAATCCGGGGAACTTCGGTTATTCAATATATATAACAAGTAGCAGCACTAGGGTATACTTAACTAGTTAGCAGACTTACTACCGTTAGTACAGGGACAGAAAGGAAGGAAGAGGACCTTATACCTAATCGTGGGAGACTTTAACCTACACTACCCGGTCTAGGGTAGTAACGATATACTACACGATATAAGGGTAGAGGATCTACTAGACCTAATAGAAAAGGCAGGGCTAGATAACTAGTTAACACCAGGCACCGTCACGCGCGATCAGGCCGGCTTATAGTCCACGATCGACCTCGTCCTTATATTATACTCACTACGCAAGTAGATAATAGCGTGCGAGGTTAATCGCAGCGTGTATACTAATTTAGATTACCTACCGATTCAAACCGTACTCGAAATCAACGTACTAGAGGCCTCGGATCCTGTTAAACGAAGGAACTAGAAGGCTATAGACGTGGAGAAGTTCCTTACCTTCGTCTTATCTAACCTCAGCATAGTACAGCTACCGAAAGAGCCTACGCCGCGCGAGATCGACTATACTATCGACTATCTTCTTGATATTATTCAGCAAGCAGCCTAGTCGTTAATATCCTAGGCACGCCCGTCGACGTAGGCCCGCTAAGGCTAGACTCCCGAGTACACCGAAGCGATCAAAACCACTCGACGACGCTATCGACGATATATATATATATACGACGATAACGACTAGGAGGACTACAGGTTAGCGAGGAACGCGAAGGGAAAGGTAATTAGGAAGGCCTTGCGGCGCGGCTTTCGCTAGTAGGTACGAGACACGATCGAACGGGGCCCCCGCGGTCTCTAGAAAGTGTCTAAATAGGCTAGAACTAGAGACTAGGTATTAGGGAGTAGTAATATCCCTACTCTAAAAGGTAACGGAGAGCTAGTAGAGACGAACTAGCAGAAGGTTAATCTGCTTCGCTAGATATTCTTCCCGTAGCCCCTATAGACTAACCTCTCGGATATCGAGGGCTCTAGCACGAGGAACTAGATCTCGTTTCCACTAATTAACTAGTAGGAAGTACGTAATACAATTAAACGGGCGCTACCGGATAAAGCGCCTAGCAAGGATAGTATCCCTAACCGTATATAGAAGATCCTAGCTACTAGTAATAATTTCATTATAATAGTAACGGGTATCTTCGACACGTGTATACGAACGGGATATAACCCTCGTCACTTCTAGGCGTCTATTATAGTAACACTCTGTAAGGGCGGTCTACGCGATTTCCGATAGCCGAAATCGTACCGGCTAGTTACCCTATTAAACACCCTCGGCAAAATTCTCGAATCAATCGTCGCTACACGTATCGCCTAGGCAGTCGAGGAGTATAGGTTACTACTAAAGACCTACCTCGGTAGCCGAAAAGGGATCTTCGTGGATTATACGATCTAGCTAATCCTTGATTAGGTATACCGGGTATAGGGCCGAGGTAAGAAAGTATCGATAATACTCCTCGATGTAGCAGGCGCCTACGATAATATCTTACACGAGCGGCTACTATATAATATTAAACAGCTCCGATTAGGCTACTTCGCCCTATAGATCGTATTATTCCTTAGTAGCAGAAGCACTCGCATTAAACTACCAGGATATCTATCAGATAGCTTCCCTACGCCTACCGGTATCCTATAGGGATCGCTAATCTCGCTAATCTTATTCTTGTTATTCAACGCGCCGCTAGTCTCGGTATATAGCATATATACACGGGGCGGAACGAGTATTACGTACGGCTTTAGGTAGGTCGACGATATAGCAATCATCGTAGAATCAGACATATACTACGATAATATCTAGCTACTATAGAAGGTACTAGGTAGGGCAGAACAGTAGGCTAAGCAGTATACGGTAAGGTTTACACCCGATAAATTCGAACTTATTCACTTTACTAACCCGACCGACACTAAAACGATATAAGAAACTATATTATAACCAGACACAGAACCCAATATCTTCGACTACACGGCATAATACCCCGAGGGCAACGACTAGATACCTATAAGAATCAACGACTTATTAATATAACCGACATAATCTGCTAAATACCTAGGTATCTAGCTCGATAAACACCTTAACTTCGAAATATATAGAGGAAAGCTTATTACGAAGGCTAATAGTAGCCTCGGAAGCCCTCCGGGCGATAACAGGGTTAGTATAAGGAGCCTTATTAACGGCGATACGAAGGATCTACTAGGTAGTAGTAGTACCACAAATACTCTATAGAATATCTACGTAATACTACCCTATAGCTAGATCTATACCCGCGTAGGAGATAAAGCGTACGGTTAACGAATTCGCCAAGATTCAACGACGTACGGCGATTCTTATCAACAGCGCTTTCAAATCGACTAGCGCGGTAGCTCTTAACATAGAGCTCTTCCTAACACTAATTCACCTTCTTATAGACTAACTTATCCAGGAATCGGTAATACAAATCTAAATAGGTACCGCGTAGGCCTATCTAGACTATCTCCGCTATACCCCCCGATCCTCGCAGGAGATTAGGAAAGGGGGGGTAGAGCCCTCTAGAAGCCCTTAGATAGAAGAAAGATAGCATCCTCGACCTAAAAGGAAGCGTATAGGAATCACGTAAAGCGTTTGTTCTAGCTCTATAGGAGGCACGGATCCTATATATTATCGAAGATATAGAGGTTACGTGAGCCTCGTATAACAAGATTAGGACGGAATCTCTATTCCAACAGGCCTACTTAAACAACCGCCCCCGAACGGTCTTGTACTTCACAGATAGTAGTAGGTATAAGCACTAGATCGGCGCTTTAGCCGTTACCCTACGCGAGGGCGTTTTTCAATAGCGATATCTTAGTACTACTAACGAATCAATAGTATACGTTACCGAGCTTAATAGTATTAAAATAGCGATTGCTAGGTTCGTTAACTAACAACAACATAATAGCAGGCCTATAAAGCTTGTTATCTTCTCCGACTACCAGGCCGCTATCCAGGCGGTACAAAACCTAAAGCGATCGTTAGGCTAGTACGTGATCCAGCAAATTTATAACCACGTACGAGCCCTCCGATCGCAAACGCCCACGTTCGACTAGATTCCCGTCGAGATCCGTTAGATCCCCGCACACGTAGGCGTTCCTAGTAATAAAACCGCTAACGTTAAAGCAAAGTTAGTAGTAACCGGAGGTATAGGGAACGGAACAGATTAACTAACTACTAGTGATTCGGCGTATAGTAGGTCCCCTAGCGATCGTGTCCTTCTAGCATCGACCGCGAAACGCCGTATACGGCAGCGTATCAAGGAGAGATAGGCACAAGAGTAGGCGAAGGAGACAACTAGCAGGCCGAACTAGCGATTAGTAAAGGCTCCGGATAAGAAGATACTTTAGCTGTTCGAATCTCTATCGAAGCTATATACCTCGATTCTAATTTAGATATACTCTATACGGATCGCACTAAACCATTTCTTATTCAAAATTAAGGCGGTTGAATTAGATCAGTGTTACTGTAGAGAGGGGTCTCAAACACCGAGACACGTCTTAATATAGTGCCCGTTGTACGCTAATCTAAGGAAGACCTTCCTTAACAAGGTCAGGGCGACTAATCTTAGGGATTCGACGGATTACGATACAATTGTATCGCACTCGCAGGCTACCCGCTACGTAGCCGAATTCATATTACAAACAGGCCTCCTAGGGCAATTCCGGCACGTCGAAATCGAGCTAGAACCACCAAAAGAAGGCAACGGAACAACGAGCCAGGATAGACTGGCAGGCGTAGGTAGTGAAGACGATAGGTAGGAGGAACGACAAGCCCAAGGCCGACCGAGAGGTCTTAGAAGAATACATCCAACATGTCAACACGCCAGTCGACGATGAACGCCACCAATTGAGAACGAAGCAGGAGGATGTAGATACCAGAGAGGGAAAGCAGAAATGGAGATACAAAGGAAGCAGCAGGCCGTTGTAAGGGCAGATTGAGAGATATATCGTGGGATTGAGGGCATTGCGGGCGTTTCGGTACTGTTTTGGGTGATTTTGGGCTTATTTTATATGGCAATACGCCGATTTCCTATGTATCTACTGTTTCATGCGCGGGTCTGGCGTTCGGAATACTCTTTGCTTCCGCCGGAGGAAGCGCCTGCATAGCCATTACGCCACTAGTTAGGCTGCATCAGGTTAATAGAGTGTTGATTGATTGATTGATTGAACGGTCAGATGTAGATTGTTATTTTGAAGAGGGTGTGGTGACAGTCTATGAATCGGTGAGGAAAGAGTGAAACATTGCATTCACTATGGTGTTTCGAGTGTCCGGTTCGCCCGTTTGTCCGACTCACCCCTGGATTAGTTACGTTAGTTAGTTAAATAATTAGTGAAGTGGGAAGCTCAAGGCAGCCTGGTCGGCCGAGGCAGGTAGGAAATTCAAGATGCTGTATCAGCAATGAGGAAAGATTTTAAATTATCATTATGCTGAGGAATCCCAATGAGACAAAAAGACTACACGCTGAAGTCACTAGAAGAGATAGGCTTCCCACCACGGAAGCACCGGTTATCGGTAATTATAGAAATATGAGAAATGGGAACACCACTGTAACTGAGGTACGCCCCGGAGAATGATGGTGGGCGCAAGCCTAGATGCGTAAATAATTTACCTCATTAACCTACCGGTTAATTTGCCCGCTGTTAGTTAATATAAATGAGATCCTAATACTCACATAAAGAGACATAGAATGTTTCTTCATACACCAGCGGTGTATGCTTTCAATTTTCCACGTGTATGTTGCACTTATTCCCTGACAGAGAGCCAGAATATGAGATACAATCACTAATCCATATAATTAATATAAAGGACTGTCCAACCAAAAGGAGCAGCCGTGGACAATAACTTATTTAGCAGTAAATCTGCTGCGTGCCCTTAGTGTTGCTCCAAGATAATACAGGCCAAACATTCCCCAAATGCAGCCCACGGTTAACCCAGCCAGCAAACTGACACCTGGAGCGACACCTAGATTAATAAAAAGTGGACGAGAAAATAGAACCGCACCACAAGCTAATGTACTTCTCATGAAGTCATTGCTAGCAAAAAGACTAGCTGCATATTGGGGATAAGTCATTGGGATATAAATAAAGACGCACTGGATAACCTGGAAAATACCAATGGTGAATATAAAAATTCCCACCACCGAGACCATCCAGTAAACACTGCTGCGAGATGTCCAGCCGAAGAGGAACAAACCAATAGGTGGCAGGAAGCAGGCAAAAAGACCTGGAATCAACCGACGTTCAGGAGCCAAGAGGCCCTTCTTCTTAACCTCTGGTTCGAATATTGTGTACAGGTACAAGAAGTATAGAGGCACCGCGATGGCGAGAGCGACCGCAATACTGAGAAAGACCAGGCCCATTTGACCCAGATTAAAACCATAAATCCCGATATAGACAATAGGGAAGACTTCGAAGAACGAATAGTAAATGCCGTAAATGAGACTCGTATAGACATTCACAAAAAGAATGGCCGGGTCTAAGATAGTGATTTGGAATGGGCGGAAGAAAGCCTCGGCCAGGACATTGGAGACGGTAAGTTTCTGTTGGTTTATCTCTGATTGAGACATAAGCTTATCGTTTCCACACTTCTTTCTCAGGCGTTGGGCCCTTTTCAAAAGGATAGCGTCCGAGGAGGTTTCGGGGAGGCAAAAAAATAAAAGAACAAAGATTGGTGCGGAAAACCAGACGATTGGCCACAATGACCATCGCCAACCTTTGACAGGAACACTGAACCCGGAGATCACAGGTCCAAGCGCCGGACCTAGAGTTGCAAAGGCTGCCCACATCGTCAGACCATAGGGCAACTTGATCAAATTGAAAATATCTCCCACGCTAGCTCCGCCGTTGGCCAGACAAGGACTGCCAAAAAAGCCCTGCAGGAAACGGAGCACTAATAGTCCCCCGAAATTGTCAACAACGGCAGTGGGGATGCCGAGAATCACGAAGATTCCGAATGTGATGATATACACTGGATTTCGACCGATAATAGGAATCTCACTTAGAGGGGCGAATATCAGTGGACCAACACCGTATCCTAGGACATAGAGAGCCAGGCCCAACGATGCAGCCGTCTCTGACACTCCAAATCTCTCTTGAACATATGAGGTGCTAGGGGAGTAAATGGAAGACCCCATGTATACTACCAGCGTATAGAGGTAAATCTGTACCACAACCAGGAACTTTTTACCAGCAGACCAGTTTTGAGGATTCTCGGGATCCTTAGTAGAATACCAGTCAACCAAGATCGTATCATCTAAGGTCTTCACAGGTGCGATTGGCTGGTCTCTCGAGTCTCCAAATTCTTCGCTCTGTGTTGCAACTTTGTATAAGTGCTCAAGGTCTGCTTGCGTATGTACCCTCCTCGCATCTGCAATGGTCGGAATTCTGATTGGTGTGGTAGAGGACAATGGCAGGAGGCCGGCTTGAGATGCTCCAGCCTCAAAATATTCTGAAACAGGCGCTGTATGTGCCCGGTCCAGCAAGAGTCTTCTGGAAATTTGGAATGCTTCTTCACTCTCTTCTTCGCCCCTGAAGAGAAAGTCTGGCGCAGCCGCTTCCGCATAACACGTAGGGCACTTGAAACCCGGTCGTTCATCTGGATACTGTAGAAGCCGGCCTCTAGTAAGACAGCGGAATATCTGTCCTGCTGCACTACTGCGCACAAGGCCTTCCATGATGGATGGAGCACGAATTGGTGAAAATGAAAGCCTTTTGCAGTTCCTTCCCAGCTTCTACCTATGCCCGGAGATTCAGCGTAGATTCACTTGGAATCGATCGTTAGGTGTTTGCTTTCCTTGCGCCTGGGAGCCTGACCTTATTCCCAATCTTTCTGCATGTCAGCGGTCAATTATATGCTTGCTAAGGACGGAACACCTACATGTGGGACGGGTACGAGGGCTTGGAAGACGTCATGACGTTGGCTTATTCTACAAGGCTTTGGAGCTGCCTGAAAACTCCGCCGGACCCGGAATCAAATTAGGCAATTGGGTCGGACCGAATATTAACAACCCCGAAACGGCGACCGTGGCTGGTCCTCCGGATTGGTGCGTCCTTCCTATGAGTAAACCTTAGCTTAACCCTAAGCCCGACCAAGGCGAAAGATGCGGTCTTGTTTTAGAATCATAATTTTCACAAAAAATGAAGTTTTGCTAATAACTGATCCCAGGATATTTTGGTCGCACTCGGTTTCGTTGAGCTTCCAGCCCAGCTGTTGATTCCGAAGCCGCTGGTATCGTTACCCGCGTGGTAGCGGATGTCAGCCCCGATGACCTTCAAGTTGGCAACCGAGGGTACACCAGTGGTTTACCCTCGTTTCCTTGCTCTGCGACCATCGTTTCAGGGCCACGGCGTGTGTTGCCCGCGTCATTCCAGTACAAATACTAGGGGAAATTGGGCGAACAATGAACAAAATCTATGCTTCGGTTGACCGATCCTGACCGCCCGGTATCCAAGGCACGAACATTTTCACAGTAGAGAGACGATATCTTTTAATTGTGGATATGAGGTGTCGGTGTCTGCTCTTTTACTTCCAGCGGCATAACTTCATTACTTCAATCCCACCCGACAGCGCCTGATCCATTTTACTGTTTCTTAGTATCCCATGTACTGGTTGCTTTCTTGATTCCCAGTTTGCCTATGATGCAATAGTGCTCATTCTCATGGTGGCCATCAAATAGTTTAGGTTTCGGGATTATTTGTAACAAGTCCGTCCCGAGGTGTCAGTATTTCTGGGACCACAAAGTTTCGCTAATAGTGGTATTTGTCAGCTTTAAGGTTAAAGTTAACCAAACCAACAAATACCGCTACCGTTCCCACCAACCGTATGCTGGACGTTTACCCAGCTTTAATAAGGTCTTGAGCGCCGACCAGATCAACCTGATAGAGCTCTATTCAACCACGTTTTGGGGGCTCTGTTTGGAATAGCATCTATCGACAACGCCGATAGAAATTACGATCGCAGCTGTCTTTTTGAGAAAACTTTATATGCCTCTACGCTATTAGAACAGATATTTGGGATATTTTATATTCTTCATGATTCCTGCGATGCCACATTGCGGAGCGGTTTTGTCTCGGTGATTAGAAAATGGAACGCTGATTTACGGTTTAGACATTCATCTAGGTTGTTTCGAACAGTGAGGCATATTTTAGATAATGTTAAGGAATCAGACTTGTTATAGATCCTCTCATTAAATATGTCTGTCTAGTGGCTAAATATGTGGCTATGTAGTGAGGGATTCAGGAAATATAGCTGAGGGCATATACTAGGTGGTTGCGGTTAAAAAAGGATTGGTCTGAAGATTTAGAGCACAGAACTTTTTGGTGCCCTGTTTGTTTTAAGTGAAGCTCGTCCTAGAATACTACTGCCAACTAAATGGGAAATCTTAAGGAAAGGTAACACGTTTGAGTGGCGGCATTGGCATCTCCCTCCGATCTCCCTCACCTCCTATAAATGTTCATATTCTTGAGAAATTTACGTATCCTCTTCCCTTAGCAAAGGTCGCATGCCAAGGAATTGAAGAATCGTGGTCGTCGACAAGCTGTTTATAAAAGTCCGCATGTGCTTCCGCATCGATATTACCGAGAACTGGCCCCCCTTCGGGTGTACGCTCATCGGCATAGTAGAATCTGAAGGAGTTCAGAACGACGTTGTCAGCGGAATCAAGGAAAGTATTTAGTTGTTCTGATCGTTTAGAAACTCCACTCATACCTGTAACCTTTCTTTGAGTAGTTTAGGTCAGACGATCCTATCCAATAAGCGCTTGCGGCTTTTCCAATTCCTAAGGTGAAGAACGCCGGAACGGGAAGCACTGTTGAATTCAGAATATTCCCGGTGTAGATAAATACCTTCTTGGCTATCACAGGAAGTTCTTTAAATCCCCGAACAGCATATTGGGCTGCTAACAAAGGGCTGAATGTATTAACCCAGAGGTCGCTTTCAATAGATCCTACAGGGATCGAAAGCAACTCGTCCGGTGGAGGACGAGTAAAAGAAAAAGCTACGGCACAATCGTAATGATCAGTCGGACTGCACCCTGACGTTGCTTGTCTGATTCTTACCGTTATAGATCACCACATTTGGTACTCCTGCAATGGCCTTTAGTTTGTCAAAAACAATTGGAATGGCATCTCTATGGGAGTAGTCGGCTTTGATTGTGATATAGCCCTCCGGCGAAGTACCATTCTCCAGGCTGCGAGCGGAGATTGCGACAAGATAGCCGTCGGCTGCAAATTTGCGAGCAACGGAGCGACCAACATTGGCGCCTGATCCAAGGATGAGGACGATAGACTTCGTCATCGCGATAGCTGTATGATATTTGGAGGAACTAAGAAACCGGATTTAAGTTGATATGTTTTATGTAGTGGCTGAGTGGGAAAGGAAGTGGGAGTTTTTGAATACGGAGTCCCAATTTCAGTATTTAAAATCGAATGGTTTCACGTGCACGTCTCATGCCTTAGGCTTACAATCACTTTTACTATATTATTGATTTCATTTAAGTTCCGGTAAAATTTTATAACATGTCCGACGGGATCATCTTCGCATCACAATATGGTAATTGTTATTTGCCGCTCCAGACTGCAGATTACGGGGAAATGCTGAGCAGGGCCACTCTATAGGTCAATTCGGGGACAACACGATCTAGGTTGAGCATCGAGGCAGGATCGCCCCGGACATGTAATTGGGGGAGTGATGCGATCATAGATGAGGTAATTGCGTGCGTTGACAATGCAGATCACGGGGTGTGATTGGAAATCACCGATGCTGAGTAACGCAATAGCCTCGGGAGAAGCCTAACCTTAGACTGAGATCTGGGTCGGACACACGGGGAGAAGTTGGAGAACCCAGCAGCCAAACAGCCACGCAGAACGGGTGCGGTGTTGTGTTGAGGAATCGGAACGCCTGGGCAACCGTGTGAAGCACTCGGAAGTCTGAGGAAGGAAACGAGTCAGATCTCGTCGGTCGTACGGAGTTCGTAGGTCGTACTCGGAGGGAGTAAGGGCGAACCGCGAGCCGTCGGCCATCCACGTCCTAGACCCTCCGACCTAGTCCACAATCTACGGCTTGGTCATCTGCAGTGGCGCTCACGGTCTTCTGTTTCTACACTATGTACAGTAAGTACAGGAGAGATGTGGTGCAAGGGAGTAGAGGGCATCCATCCCTGCTGACGGACTGGACAGGACAAAGTTAGTTAACGTAGTTCCCGCATGACCGGGCCACCTACGCCCATTAGAAAAATTAAAAATCGATTTTCTCAACCAACGCCCATTAATTCAACTAAATATAGCGATTTTTACATGTATTGATCCTGTGGCCAATTTCCCTACACCCACTTAGTGACACCTAGGCGGAGCCCTAGTAGCCGGCCTATCTACCTGAATAGGCAATTCGCCCTGCGCGTGCGATTCTACCACCGGTGCTTCTTCTAGCAAATCTAGCTACGCAACTAGCTGTAGGCCCTCTTCAACGGTCAATCCCTCTTAACATGGTATCTGCTTATGCGACCGATTGCGCTTCTTGACGATCTTCTTATTAGCTGCGCGTAGATTCGCATTATCTTGCGCGAGTAATTGTGAACAAGCGATGTGCTGCGCAGGTAAGTAGGGAGGAAGAAGATTGAATAAGATAGATTGATCTTTCTTCCTCTAGTTGAATAGGAAGGATAAGTTCAATTCGGCTTAGGATCATAAAGATAAGATGAGAGAAAAGTAAGGTAGGACTAAAGCTTGGTTAATTGTATTGAATCGTCTTGTTACTTATGAATACTAGATATGATCATTAGATCTTGATAGAGAAAACAGGGCATATTTATAATTAATATTTTATGCAAACTTATCAAACTTGTTTCTTGCATATAATCGATCTAGATAGATCTAGACGTATTCTAGATGTATAGTGATCTTATGCAGTAGCCGTTTGGTTGGTGGTTGCTTGATTGTACGATGTAATTGATCGTAATGATGATGTAGATTGCATGACTATGATACATCTGTTTATGCCTGATTATCCGATTGGATAATGATGATATAATAGCATAAAGCTTGTAGAGATTCAGAACATCGTTCTGGTTATTGTATAGGCCTTATGAATCTGGCTAGATGTGCTGCCTGACGGCTTAGGCATCTTGCCCGATATCTGACAGGGGGGCAATGTGACGATCGTCAGCAGGATTGATGCCTGGTTCCTGAGGCATCAATCTACTATTGAGATAGCTCTCTCGCCGTTCTGCCCTCTTTCCTTCTTTCCTTCTCTCATGCTTAGTTGTTTTGGTCAAATGCTACCATGTTGATTGATCAATATCTCTCGCGTGCCTGAGCGTAACACATAGTTAGAAATACTGAAACTACTATCCTCGGCTACAGAGACCTTAAAGTTATACTAACTAAATCTCTTAACGGAACCGCTTTTCCCTTAAAACAAGTTACCTATTGTTGTAATTGCGTTTAGTGCATAAAACCTTTGTTGAAATCGTTCGTGCGCACCAATCTTAGTACCACGATTATAGAAGAGAGACGAATCAGGATAGATCATAATCGGCTGATCAGACAGAAGAATCAAGCAGTGGAAGGTTGATTCAGATGGTCTACTATGCCCGGTAATTCTTCCTGAGATAAAAAGATGTCAAACTTGTTTATTCTGACTAGGAAACAGAGTGCAATTTATAACATGAGGAGCATAGCAAATATCATATGAGGAAATCAAGAACATTCGAGGTCATTTTAGAGTGTTGCGTAGTCTCCTGCCTAGGTAGGCAATGTTGATGCGATCGTTGAAGATCAATATGATATATCAAGCGGGGTAAGTTCATCTTGCAGGAAGCATGATTCCTCCAGGATCTAGCAGAGTAGGAAGCTGACGTAAGATCTTATGCGCACGCATACTTATATGCTGACAGAATCAATCTCCGACCGTAGTACTTAGCCCTAGTAACTACCTTCTACGAAGATATAAGGCCTATTATAAAGCCTATCTTATTAAAGTTATAGATATCCTCAGCTTATATACCGTTCTCGTTAATCACGCTTTGTACGGTAGTAAACTAGGCTCGTAGGGCTTTAGGGTCTTCGTTTAATGCGCGTTGGTAATCGTATCGCCTAGAAAAGCGTAACCAAAGCTCATCGTGACATTTAACAAAGGTTGATGGCTAATTCTTGCTAACAGTAGGCGGAGGGTAGCTACCGCGCGCAGCTAGTAGGATATTAGCCATTTCTCTAACAGTAGCTGGCCTAGGCGCTACTCCACGCGAATCTATAGAGAGTATCTAGTTAACAAGCCATTTCTCTTCCAATTCAGTCAATTTATGGCCAGTTAGGCGATAATCAACGCTGCAAGCACACCTTTCGCGCGGTCGGCTAAGGTTATATAGGGGATATCGTATAGCTTAGCTGCTACGCGAATAGATTTAATACGGCCATTTTTAATATCCTCAAGGGCTAATAAGACCTTGTCCTCCTGGTTAGCCGATTTCTGCGAAGATTCAGAGCGAATTGGTGGCATGGTAGGTGATTGAAGTTGGTGTGTAGGTAGAAAGACGCGATTTTGGATGGGGTGTCCGGGATGGCCGGGTGTACGGGACGGCTGGGAATTACGGTAAGTTATGAAGGCGGGCGGCTATGACTAAACTTATGGGTCACCTGACTAGCTTGGAGGTGACAATTTCAATGCAATTTGACCTGTTTCAACTGTTCTATCTATCCTATGCCTTCATATGTCGATCTGGGGCCTCATTTGGTGTATCAATCTGGAAAATGAAATATACGGAATAATTTTGCCGGCAAGAAATTGCATTTTCCAATGACCTTTTAACCGTACTGCCGTACTGCGTGCCCTTGAATTTGTTCCGCAAATGATGACTGTTGGAACAAAGATGAGTGGGCCATGTAGGTGTACCAATAGAAATCACAGTAGGTCTGAATTGCCATAAGGCCCCTAACTGGCAATTTGGATGGGCCATCTACAGGACTAATCTTGGCGGATATACAGTATCTCCTGTCTCCGGGTATCCACCAATCCTGCTGCTGCGACAATGACGCGTTCATCTATATCACGTGATACAATACGTTTCGTTTTCGTTTCAATCATGGGAATCTTCCAATTTCGAAAAGCTTGTGTGCTCACAAGTCCAAGGTACCGCAATCTTTCCAAGATCATCATCAACACCCTCTTTTTGACACTAAGGCCTCGTCTACTCGTTAATTTAAGTTATTTTCGAGGTACGAATCCCGGAGACTGCAACACATCCAATGGCTTCGAAACATAGCCCCAACACTCCACCAACGACCAACTTGGGAGGGTCTGCCACCAGGTATAGGAAGTCTCGTGGTCGCCCAAAGAAGGATTCTGAGAGAGACACCTCCGCAGACGTGAGAAGACCTGAAGGGCTGGATGTAGACGCATGCATTTGTTAACAGGACTGAATTCTGTAGAGGCGGAGAGCTCGAGGGCGTATTGCGCAAGATGCCTTCCGACGTCGGAAACAGGCCCTTACTACCTCTATGAAACAGAAAAATTTGGCTCTGGTCAATATTATTGAGCAAATGAGCACTGGGTTTACAGATTTTGCCGATGAACTTTTACGATCGGAACATTTCCGTAACGACCGTGCCCTTACTTATCACCTCTCTCATGCTACACGTCGATTCGTTGAATTAGCAAGAATGGCCAGCCAGTCGCCAGTCCCAGGATCAGGTCCGGCTGAGGAATCTTTTAGCAACATCCCCGCTGCAAATGCTTTACTTCCCCAAGGGCATACCCGTTGGGCCCCCGCCGAGGCGATCCTCCCCGCTGGCGCTTCTTCTCTCACTTGGCAAAGTCACCAGCCGATACCCACATTCCATGACATGGTATTTGTATCACATGATCCTTTGCGGGATGAGCAAGCTCTTGGGGCCAGCTCCCTCACGCAGCCTCTTGGTGCCTTTCCGATGACTTCACCGCCTTTCTCGGTGGAATCTGCGGCAGTTCGATACCCTTTCGGATCTAGGTTGCTCCTATACACCTTGGAATTTGTCTATTTCTCGCTCCTAGGGCGGGACAACTACACGCCACATCTCGCGATCCAGATATTCCGGTTAACACTAGCCGAACACACTCGACCCCAGATTTTATCCGCCATTCGATGGTATCTTGGACCTGGGTACTCCTATACGGTATCGTTAGGGGGCTCTACCACGAATCATTTAGATCTCGCGGATTGCCAGAGTCCGTGCCTGTCGTGGAGTCATCGCTTGACCCAATCAACTCACGTGAGACGTGGACTTTTGGAGATGCTATTTTCCCAGTCAGACAGGGTCGCGAGAGGGACCAGTACTTGAGCGCATACGAGATTGAGGAATATCTCAAAACTCGCGCTATTTCTGAAATGGACGTGGATACATTGCGCATAAAAATCAAATCCCCAAACCACCTCCCAGCAAGTCGCTGTCATGAGAATCTCACACCATCAAGCTTCGATTCATCGCCAGGTGAGCATAGGAGTATTTTTAGTACCGACAACAGCCTAAGCAACGTGCCTCTATCCAACTCTGCTGTATGTGATATACCTTCTTCTGTGACCAACCGCTATCTCCAAACATTCCCGTCAACGGCTGGGGATAGCAGTTTTAAGACAACTAATCCGCCGTTGACCGGTGATAGATTATGCGGTAATCAAGAAGGATGTACTCGAGAAGGCGTTCCAAACACCCGACCCCCGCAACCACAGCAGGATCTGGTTATTGCGATTGATATGAAGTCCTTCATGCGAAGATTGTCCACTACGTCAACATGTCTTACTTACGGACCAGGCTACCCGTGTGATAAGATAGATGAACTCTTGCTGGAGTCGGCGGTCTTATAGATGGTAATATTTACATCCCAACGTCAGATTAGTGAAAGACGGCTAAATCAAGCCTCGAATACATATCCACGACAGCGGAATATCAATTTCTATTCTGCCTCGTTGTTGAGATTCAGCTTTCTACGCTGACTCTGCCAGCCATTCGTCGGTGCCCATTTGGGATCCTCCCGTGACAATCCAGACGCATATAGGGGACCGATTTGACGATAGGAATAACCATGGCCGAATCGGAACGATAACAGGAGGCGTTCCATATCATGGGGCATATCAAACACCAACCTACCAGATCGTTTCTCTTCCTTTCTCCTCCCCAGTCGTGATACCCTAACATATAGGAGTATTTACACCTAGCCTGGGTAGAATTAGGGTATTTCTCTTAAGTATAGGGAAAAAAGGTGGAGACAGGGCTAGGTAGAATTAATTTTTCAGAGGCTAGATGCAATTATTCCTAGACGTCGTACGAAGCTAAAACTTTAGGAAGTTCTAAGTTGATATTAGATCTATCTATATTCTTAATTTTATTATCGTACAATGGTTTATTAGAGGGTGGTGAGTTTTTGAAAATTATAATATTGTTTTAATAGGGTCCAGGCTAAGATAGATCTTCTATAGAAACCTATGCTATCCCCTCGTCTGTCCCGGAGTCACATTTAGCGTATTTTACTAGGCTAATACTAACGCATGTCTAATAACGCGTACTAATTGGCCAACTACGGTCATAGTATGGTATGTAAATAATTAGGCCTAATTCAAACTAGCTATTTGTATGGAATTCGCGCCAACACTGCCCTTTTGCACATAGAGCTACACTGCCACATTGTAAGCAACCCGTTCGCGACCGATTAGCACGTTAGCCTCTTCTACCCTTTCCTCTCGTATACTGACACCAAACACAAGCCTTTTGGCTACCTAATTCAATTCGCTGGTGGTTTATACTAGGTGATGGGATTGGTATTGGTGGAGGTGCAAAGGCAAAGAGCTGCGTATAAAGCTGCTTGCGAAACTCTAGTTAAAATAGCCTACTAGTCCTCTGTTGCTGCTTCTTATAGATTGATTGAATGCGGAATGCATTAATAATCGATGCATCAAGAAAGAAGAATAGTAGCGGAAGCCAATTTCGCTCGCTCTTTCGATGAATCTTATAAGAAGCCCGATACTGATTTGCAATATCAACACTACCTATATAGTGATTATAATCGTCAATTGCAGCAGGGATCTCGAGCTTTTTGATAATCTCATTACTAAAAGGAGCACGTGCAATCGCCGTATTCGTAGATGTTGCTGATGGCCGCTTTCGCTTAGAGGGAGTAAATATCTGTAGCGAGTGGATAGTAGATATTAGTAGTACTATATTATTATCCTACCACGCGAGACAGAGTACTCCTTTAGCCTTAGTCGTATATAAACTACCCTACTGGATAGATTTTATATGATCCTGTCAACTTGTGGTGGGATCTTCCCGCAGATGACTAAGCCGCCACCATCTTTTCCCCGGAAGAAACACCTTCATGTCCACCATATTGATTTATATTGATCCTCAACGATCTCGCATTGAATTGCCTATATTGGCCGGAGACTACTCAACACTCCAAAATAACCTCGGATGTTCTTGATTTCTTCATGTGATGTTTACTGTGTACCTCATGTTATAAATTCTGCCTGTTTTTCTAGCTAAATTGAACAAGCTTGACATCTCTTTGATCTCATGAGTAGATTTCTTTGGCATACCTGATCATACTCCCCGCTTGATCTAATTAGCCGACTCCTATTTCTCTGATGGTAGTCTTTCTTCACCTGCTACGGACACACATATCCTTTTGTGTGCAATTGGATTTTATGATCACTATTAAAAATCCAAGAGGAGTCGTATAGGGTCTCGAGATAGTCTCCCCGAAACTTAAAGTAACAAGCTTCTTTTATGATCTTGACTCGTACGAATAGACCGGGCGTATCCCTAAAGTTCTCTATAAAAATAGTACTACTTAACTAGACTAACTCTTACAAATATACTAGATATAGAAGAGTTAAATTATAAATCCCTATTATTATTACTATCATAACTCCTATATTTTAGATTATTAAGTTTATAAAGTTATTATACGAGGGAAATACTAAGTAAGAGGATTAATTCTACGGTCAGGAAGAGAAGAGTAGATATATATACTATAGCGTAGGTTTCTATAGAAGATCAATCTTAGCCCGGACCCTATCAAAAAATGTTACAATTTTCAAAAACTCACTACACTCTAATAAACCATCGTACGATAATAAAATTAAGAATATAGATAGATCTAATATCAACACTAGAACTTCCTAAAGTTTTAGCTTCGTACGACGTCTAGGAATAATTGTACCTAGCGTCTGAAAAATTAATTCTACCTAGCCCTGTCTCCACTTTTTTTCCCCATACTTAAGAGAAATACCCTAATTCCACCCAGGCTGGGTGTAAATACTCCTATATGTCAGGCACCAACCCCTAACCGTCGAAGGTGATTAAATAGAGGAATAGTCGTAAAGTAATTATCTATATAGATCATATAGTTATTGCGTTGTGGTGGTAGGCCTTCTTGTGCCAATTGAACAACCATAGATCCAGTAAGAGTCAAATTATCCTGCTTTTTGTTACAGCCAGAAAGAGATCAGGGATTAACTTGTGCCACTTGACGAAAGTATCAAGACTAGAGAGGAGAAGAAAGAGAAAACTATTTGGTGGGATGATGTTTGATATATCTCCCGATAAGAAACGCCTTTTCTTATCTTCCCGATTCGGCCATGTTTGTTTCTATCGCCAAATCCCCAAACCAATCCCAATCGTGTCTAGGTCGTCAGAATAGTACAAACTGGGTCATCGAGGGTGTCAGTGAAAGAGAACTATTTCGTTTAATGGCGTACCAAGTCTTCTGACGCGTGGGACAGCAAAATGCGAGCCCTGAGTTGTCTGGGTCGGTAGCATGAGTCCGACGGATCTAGCTGGGTTCCTGCGAATTGTTCCTCTATCCTGAGGCAGCATGCCAGCGTACCAGACGCGGTTGTGGTAGGGGGGCTTAGCCCTGTCTCTATCTCAAAAGTGCTATATGTAAAGGGTCATACGTGATATACACAAGGCAGTCAGTCACCCCCACCTATACAACTAGCCAAGTTAGTGACGAGAATACCTGACGATTTTTGACGACAAAATATAAATTACCGGCTACTCACCACCAATTCTCGTCCAACATCCAGGCAAAACATGGCCTAAAAATATTCTTACTGGGCATGTGGTTCGTAAAATGGACGGCTCCCGGGGTATTAAAAACGCAATCCAAGTTCCGCGATGTCATGATCATATCTCGAACTTGGAAAAGTAGCCACGAGACTGCGGTGGCTTTGAGGTGACGAATTCCCGGTTAAGAAAAGCCTCATTATCGGTCGTATAGTTACAAGGCTACCGGCCGTGATACCAAGACTGGCTTCTATATTCGACCATACGGAAATCTGCGTTGTTGCATCTGAGACCAAATTAGATTCAGCAGAACGGAAAGTAGACGGTGAAGTAGACTCACAGAGGAAGTCTGGATCTTTCGCGTACTTTAAAAATGGAATGCGAACGATGACGGCGGTACTCGCACTGGAAAAGTTTTCTGTTAGGACAAGGCCCGGATAGAACGAACAAGCCGGGTGGACGAACATGCCAGCAATTCCCAAAATTCCTGCCACTGCGAATTTAGTCCGTTGATCCATTTGAAGCTTCCAAATCATAAACACAGGCAGGGAACTAATTGCAAAATCACATGTTGCGGCCACCCCACTGTACATATAGACAATACCGAGTAAGGTCTCTATGTCAAGACAACAGCCATTTCCTGACAAGCGGTTCCAATAGTACGCGACTGGATGACATTGGAAGATGGTGAAAAACAGAAAGACAATTCCCACAGTGGTTGAAAAGCACATTACCCCGTACAAAACCCACGAATGAATGCGCTGAACCGTAAGACGAAGCAGAGTCATGGCAATAGCTAGCCTACCGATCGTGCACGTGAATATGTATAAGATCTGACCTAACCACCAACACTATTGACCATAACAGTCAGTGATACGACGGTAAATTACGATGCGAGTATGCCTACCAATAAACCACGCCGAATATACTCTGGTCGGTGAGCCAGATAAGCCTGTGACTTTCCCATACCATATAACGCGCCCACGATTCCGCATATGGCAAATCCGACGTTGAAGATCTGCACAAAGTTTAGCACACGTGCTAGCTGCCAAAGGACAATCCCCCTATGCCGGCTTACTGTCGCCATCACCATCAAAGAGTCGTCGTACCCAAAGGCTTTCACAATCTTCAAACGAACGAAACACCGAAGACAGACAGCGATTAGTGAGATGCTCAGAAATACCGCGGCGACGATAATGATTGCATCGCTTCCCTCCATAATCGGTGCTCATCAGGACACGAGGGCACCCGATCGCGTTGACAGACGACCATCAAAGGGAGGACACTGAGGTTAAGTAGTGAGGTGGCGGCGTTCCTATGAAGTTAGTTCTGGTCGTTTCGGTGACATCAGGATCGGAGGAAGAACTCCGGAAAAACCTCTAGCCGGCGTAAGGCAGGTGGTATCTGCTTACCAACTACTCAGGTCTCAGATGGGAATTGGTAAGGACACCACGGGTTCCAGCTCAGCAGGACCAAAAAAAGTTCAACGGGACCCAAGAATTTTCTGACTAATCCTGGGTCTCGTTCAGGTGCCGTCGCTCATCGGGACCCAAATTATTTTGGATCCCGGTCAGCTATTATGCCTAATTTTATGTATTTATGTCTAAATTATAGGGGGTTCAACTAAAGTTAAACCCTACCTTACTAAACCGCACTAAACCTCTATACAACTCCATATAATATATGTTATTTATGATCTCTGCAACTCTTGATCTCGACTCCTTTGTTAACTTATAAAATGAATAGTTTTAATATTAATAGGGAAGTCTTCATTTTCCGTAACGTGGTCAGTTGGCCTTGGCAGCGAAAGGTAGGAAATGTAGTCTCACAAAGAGTGAGGAGATGATAGTTCGAGAATAAGAGGTCGTCGATGTTGACTGACGGCTGGGTTTTACCCCTAAGATCAAGCTCATACTCGTCGGTCAGTGTGGTGCTTACTATCTTCAATAATCAGTATCTATCGTCGAGTGGATGTGAGATAGTATATACTATAGTCATTTTTCGACGAAGGTCGCAAGGAACTCGCTGTGTATTTCCCTACACCAATAAATTCTGAATTACCTCGCAAAGACAAGGAAACTGGGTTGATATTCTATGTTATGTGTCGAAATACTACCGCAGGAATTTGTGGATCACCCTGAAAGTGATAATTTTGAGCCACTGGTGAGGATCAGGTGGGTTCAGGTTTTGCGTGAACCTAGCATCATTTTGCAAGTCCCTAGAAGAACCAAGTGAGAGATGTAAATGGACTAACTTTCAGAAATTGACTTGCATGTTTTTGGAGTTATCTTGTAGCGTCAGCATGAACGCTATTGACCTAGGTATCTGGCTGGTGAACGAATAAATTCCAGTCGATTTCTGTAGACTTGGCTCGAAGTTTCTTGGCATCGTGGACGATCAACCTTTTTCCAGGATAGTAATAGTGTTTCTCGTAGAGAAAGGTAGACTCGAGGACTACCTTTACCTGAACATTCAAGGCTTATTGTACCTCTCCGGCTTATTTATACCACTGCCTTATGATCCACGCAGTAGGAATCCTAGTGTATTGTCATGAATTTTTGGAAGCCACGCTAAGCCTAATTTGGCTACCACCGTAGTGTGTCAGTAAACCAAGGCGTGGGAACAAGGAAAGCTCTAGAGCGGTAAAAGCTAAAACATAAAAACCGCGGAGAAGCGAAGGCGAATAAATTAGCGTGAAAAGTAGCGCGAAACAAAATAAAGGCGTCGGTCTTACACACTCACTCAATGGCGTGAGTCGCTTTGCCTCGGTGGGGTGGTATGCGGATATCAGTTTTGAACCTGTTCCGTCGGATTATGCTGTCCCTCTACGTGAAATCATGCTCCTTTACATCGCTCCTACTGTCCCTTTAAAAAGCACCGACGTTAACAATTTAACGGCTTATCTAGCTAATATTTATTGCGCCTCAATAAAGTCTCCTGGTTGTTAATGTTACTTTTTAATCTATATGCTCCTAGGAATCCTTCGTCTACTACCTGTACGATCTCCTGATTAGGTGTGAGATATAGGGCAAGATGCCTAAACCGTCATGCAGCATATCAAGCCAGATTCATAAGGCCTATACAAGATGGCTGAATCTCTATAAGCTTTATGCTATACCATCATCACTGCGGTCAATGACATCAAGTAAGACGTATACAACAGTATACGATCTCCATCATCACTACGGTCAATGACACGATCTACATCATCACTACAGTCAATGACATCGTATAATCAAGCAACCACCGATCAATCAGCTACTGCATGAGATCACTATGCATCTAGATCTATCCGCATGAGATCATCATGCATCATCTAGAACGATCATATGTGTTACGCTCAGGTACGAGAGGAAGAAGATCAACCAGTGTAGTAGCATTTCACGAAACAACTAAGCATAAGGAAGGAAAGAAGGAAGGAGAGATAGCGAGAGAGCTATCTAAATACTCTGTGGATGCCTTAGGCACTAGGCATCAACACCAAACATATGTGAACCGTAATAATATGCAAGAGACAAGTTGATTATAAATATGCCCTGCTTTCTCTACCAAGATAATAATCATGTTCAAGACATACAAGCAAGATTCAATACAATCAACTAAGCTTCAGTCCTACTTTACTCTTCTCTTATTTTATCTTTATGATTCTAAGCCGAATTGATTTTATCCTTCCTATTCAATCTAAGGAAGAAAGATCAATCGATCTTAATCATCTTTAATTTATCTTCCTCTTTACCAACCTGCGCAGCATCGCTTGCTCACAAAGATCTAGTAATTTACTACGATAGTAGCTAACTAGATAATTAAATCTTTACTACTTCGTTAGACGTAAGCTTTACTAATAATCCTAATAGAAAGAGCTCTAAAGGATTTATCTTTTACCTATTTAGTAGACTAATTAAATAGAAATCTCGAAAACAAAAGATAGTTACTATATTAATAACTAAAGCTAAATTACTTATAATTAGCTATATAGCTAAATAGCTATATTAGATTAAACGTCTTTTCTTCTTGGGTAACCCTGTTGGCACCACCTCAAACTCGAACTATATAACCCACACACACTAATCTAATTCAAAATCTATCTACTAGGCTTAGCCAATTCGCCACTTAGTAATCTGCCTTGCCCTTCTCTTTAATTCCTTCTCCGCTATCACTAATTTCTTGGCCTTCCGACCGCGGCCAGCACCACGCCCTTGCCGAAGTTCTATCTCCCACTTTGACGGCATTCGCGTTGTCGATGTGTCGGTTCTCTTTGAAGGTAGTGGTACTATAATTCCTACGGTTTTATCCATAGAAACGTAGGTACCTTGGCTTCGCTTTACCCTAAACTTCCGACCGGTAAGATTCCTCCCTCCCCATCTTTGCCAACGCTTTACAGTCTCAAGCAACTTCGGCCGTCCAACCCCCTTTACCTGAGCCGGCTCATTGATTCGAATCCCTCCTATCCTTCCTATCCTTCTAATTCGCTGCCGATCCGTCCGAATTACCCGATTTAGCAGGATTAGCCAGTGTTATTAGTCAAAATAGGACGGAAGGAGAGATTGCCCACTATCTATCAGATCTTTAATCACATAATTGCATAGAAGACCAAGAGATTTCTGGTAGTATTGGGTGCAAGAGGGTAGTAGCTTCTCTGCTTGGATAAAATTCTGCTATGTGTTATAGACCTTTCGAATCGTACTTCTTGAGACCCGACCGAGAAGATTGCGCAAAAGTAGTACTTGAAGCGAGACAGGGTGACGGTGTATTTCGTCTTGGATTGAGTTAAAAGCCTGCGAATTTGCATATAAAACGACTCGAGAAACGACACGCATAGTAGCAAGAATGTCGCTAGTTAAGGTACGAATTTCTCGCTTAAGCTTTACGTAGGCTCCTTCTACACGAGAAGAAGTAAGCTTATCATAATAGAGAATTCCGTCAAGATAGCACCGCATAAATTACTTTGCCCTATCGCTAAACTACTGCTTTTCAATATATTCGATCGCTGATTGGTAGATTAGGTGCCTTAGGGCTCTTAGAAAAGAGGCCTTTCTTGCTTCTATCCTATCTTTAGTAGGCTCAAGGATAATTTGCATAAATTTAGCCTTCACAGATCGCTATTCCTCGATAGTCTTCTTTAGAACGTCCAAATTAGGAAGGTCTTACAAGAGTAATTTCTTCGAAATTATTAGCCGCACGCGTGTTTCAATGTTCTTCATAATATACTAGAGACAGAGTATGCAAGTTGAATCCTTAAAGATCTCTCTACATACATTTAGAAGAGAGTCTGCGTCGTCGGAGAAGATAACACATGGAGCTTGAATCTTTGCTTGTGTAAGCTATATTTAAAGAGCTTGAAATATCTAAAGATACGACGATTCTTGCTTATTATTAACAAAGCAATAAGCTACGTAGAAGGTTTTCCTTATTGAGGTTTGTCCGACGATATTAATCATTAGCATATTATACCTAGATAACCCGAGTAAATCAGTAATCTCTTGTTTTTGTCTTATCTTTCTCTTATTTTTCTCTCATCTTTCTCTTATTCATCTTATCTTACCGATTAGTCTTGTATATAGTATCTATCCATAGAACATTTAGATAAACACGAAGAAATTAAAGGCCTATCCTTGAGATAAATATAATTCTGATTAGCCGCTGTTGGCTATCCAATTCGTATCGTATAATCCAACTAGGTAGGCTCTCTGTCACTGCTTCAATCGATGTACGCCCGGCAAGGAAAATTGATCTGGTTCGGGCGCGGAGATTTTCAAGGTCTCTTAAGTTAAGTAGACTCTTCTCAGGCTCTAAAAGTATCGAAATTACTATAGGTTTTAGGCCTTTTTCAAAGTAATCAAGGAGTCGCTCTTCCTTTTCTTTCCTCTCTTTTTACCGTAGTAGAACTAGGAGATTTAGTGGAACTAGGCCATAATTGTGTTCACTATATTTAACCACAATCTCATAACGGTCAGGAATAGCGTTATTGCTACCCTTCCGTAGCCAGATTTAATCTTATATAGGCAATTAGTCCTAATCTTAATAACCTCGCGAGATTTAGCCTTAGATAAGACTAAACGACCTTTCTTGGTAGGATCTAGCTAGAGAGAATAGTATAGGTCAACCCTCTTATTATCAGATCTCTTTACTACTAGGGCAAAACCCTATTTAGTGGCAGATTCCTAGAGGGCCTTCTTTGCAAGGTCACGGGTCTTATAGAATTATGGTGGATCTGGTAGT